GAATTCAAAAGTCAGAAGAAAAGGGAAGAAAGGGCACCTGAAGTGGCTTCAGAGGCACCTCTCTATCACTTTCCCTCTATGTGTCTCCAGACCAAGAGGAGGAGTTTTTCCATTCGTCCCTTCTAGGATTCAAAGCTGAACTCTGTTGGTTTAACTCGTTCTGAGCCTTTCCCAAGGGGGAGGCGTGTCCGGCTGTCGTCCGTGAAGACTCCTTTGGACACCTTTAATTTTAATTTTTTAATTTTTATTTATTATTTTTATGATATGTCTTAGCCTCTCTGTGTGGATGGTGTTTATCACAGGAGGCTAGACCTGACCTACCACATACCTTTCCTTTAACTGCTGTATTTCGCAAGCCCATTCATTGCCCTCCTCCTTTGGGAGGGCTCCGGCCTGGTACGGGTTAAAGGAGAGAAGTGCGCGGCGATTCCTAGAGAGGCCTGGAAGAGAAGGGCAAGGAGGAGCCTGGTCCTCCACAGGGACTGTACCTCCCACGTCCAAATAGCCCTTCCTGACTTACTGTACCGAGAAAAGTAACTTCTCCACGTGATGCATTCTGGGAACTGGTGAGCCTCCCGCGTCTTTTTGGTTTGGGAGCCTTGGAGCTGCAAAGGAGAGAGAGAGAACTATGGGGGGAGCACAGATTTCTTTATGGGGTGGTATAGCTGGCTGGACAGCCCATGGGGCTTAAGTCTTTGACTGCAGAGCCAGAGGTTGGGAGTTCGAATCCCCACTGCGCCTCCTTCACATGGGTTGCACTCCGTGATCCATACGGTCCCTTCCAGCTCTTCAGTTCCAAGATGATGATGATGATGATGACATAATTTGTCGCAAGACTCTTTGTTGTCCTGTGTGAGTACCTCTGTTGCAGTAAGTCAGGGTGCATTCTGTTTCATTACACTGTGTACCCTGGCTGTAATGGTTAGAAATGGAGCCTCCATCTCCTGAGGCAGTACTGCATAGCTTGGAATATTGGGGAGAAAGCTTTTGAGTTTTGTTTTGTTTTTTAAGTATACATTCCTAGCAAGTCACGGGGACATGACTATGAGTCCTGGCATGATTGTGAAAAGACCTAGTTACTAGCCAGAGACTGCCACATTCTTGCCTCAATAATAATACAGTGGTGCCTCGCCAGGCAGTTACCCGCGACCGTTTTTTCACTAGACATTGACTTTTTGTGATCGCTATAGCAATTCACCAAACAGTGATTCCTATGGGGGAATTTCGTTGGACAATGTTTGGTCCCTGCGTCACAAACCGATTTTCACTAGACGATGATTTTGACAGCTCCCTCCGCGCTCGCAAAACAGGTGTTTTCGGGACCTAAGCTTTGCAAGGCAGCGATTTAAACAGCTGATTGGCAGTTCGCAAAGCGGCTTTTCTATGCTGATCTTTGCTAGACAATGACAATTCTTCCCCATTGGAACGCATTAAGCAGGTTTCAATGCATTCCAATGGGGAAATGCTTTTCGCTAGACAATGATTTCGCTAAACAGCGATTTCAGTGGAAGGGATTATCATCGTCTAGCGAGGCACCACTGTAAAACAAATTTAACAAAGCAATTTTAATTTTGCAGAGGTATAATAGCACTTAGAAGGAAGAGGCCTTTCATTCATGAGAGGGGTCTGCTGAACACACATTTCAAAGATGGACAGGCCACACTCTTCAGTTCCGGATGTTAGAAGGCACCTGGATGCCATCAAAACAGAGAGCACAGGCGAATTTGGGGAAAGAACGGCACAGAAGAACCTGGATGGGAACACTGGCAGCTCAGATGGGCAGTGCCAGCACTTCCGGCACCTGTTGTACAAGGAAGCTTGGGGCCCCCGAGAGGCTTGTAGCCAACTTCACAGCCTTTGCCGTCAGTGGCTGAAGCCGGAGACACACACAAAACGGCAGATCCTGGACCTGGTGATCCTGGAGCAGTTCCTGACCATCCTCCCCCTGGAGATGTCGAGCTGGGTGAGAGAATGCGGAGCCAAGACCACTTCCCAAGCGGTGGCCCTGGCAGAAGGTTTCCTCTTGAGCCAGCAGGAAGGCAGGAGGAAGCAGAAAGAGCAGCAGGTGAGAGTAGATAACATTGGGATAAAGGAGGGTCAGAAATATGGAAGAGTCTCTATGAGTCTCTGTGGTGCCCAGTTTTAGGTAGGTTCATCTATGCCATCCCATAATGCTTCAAGCTCCCTCTGGGTGGTTTGTAATTTAATTATGCAAGCAATACTTTGCCCCGTTCCCCCATGCAAGATGGGTACTCACTTTACCAACCTCGGAAGGATGGAAGGCTGAGTCAACCTTGTCAGGATTGAACTCAGGTCACGAGCAGAGTCTTGACTGCAGTCCTGCGGTTTAACCACAGCACCACGAAGCTCCTCTAGAATCTGGTGTCCTGAGCTCTCTTTTGCTTCTATTATTCCTTTTTCTGATTTTCTCCTTTTTTCAATGCTTTGATCTCTGCCAGGTGGCAGAGAAGGTTCCGCCAGACATGAGAAAGCATCCGTTGCAACGGGAGATCAAGCAAGAGGATGATGGAGAGGCCATTTTGCCAGGTAAGGATTAAAATATTTAACTCGCTCTGTGTATATATTTTCATATACTGTATATACTTTTTCTCTGGTTGGCATTAAAACCCAGGGCAGGCTTAATATTTTTCTGTGACTTCCAGGGTGAAGCTGCTAGTCTCCAGTAGAGATGGGCACAAACCGGCAGTTTGGTGGCTCCTGCTGGTTCGGTCATTGGCCAAACAGGCTTTTGGTGTTTCCCTGCAGCGCCCCCTCTGGTGGGCACCCACTTAGAGACAGTGCCCTGGCTTCCCGGTCCTGCCAACTCCGGGGGCTGCCTCTGAGTAAGGCGCTTGATGGAAGTGGGGAAGCGCTGAACACTTGTTTGGCCAATAAACAAACTTCATGAACCACTGAACTGGTGGTTCATGTCCGTCTCTAGTCTCCAGTTTTATCCCAAGCTGGAATACGTGCATTGTTTTTTTAACACTTGTACATTGGGAATTGCACTATTATTTTGTTGACAAAATTAAAGGCAGTGAGGAAAGGGCAAAATTTTGTTCCACTTGAAGGACAACAGATTCATTTAAGTCTGAGTGTTTGTGGATCGAAACCCTCTATTTTGGTTATAAGGAGTGCTCAGATACGTCCTCTGCATTTCTACGTTTCTCCATGACTAGATGAGCGAAGATAAAAAGCAAAGTGTGCTGCTTCTGTACCATTCCATAACACTTAATGCACTCTCGCGATGGTTTACAATGTAATTATGTAGCTTATGCATTGCCGATGCTCCCCCAGCCAGCTGGGTACTCAGTTTACCAGCCTTGGGAGGATGAAAGGCCGTGTACAAAGTCTTCATGGCCACTGTGCCACAAGGTTGGACCACAGTGGTTCATTAACACAGGCCTGGGACTATCAGGCTATTAATTACTTGCGGTGGCAGGTCGTAGCCCGGGTGATGAGCTGTGTACCAGATCAACCAGAGTGGTCAGAAGACCAGATGGGTGGAGTATAAATTAAATTAAATTAAACAAACGAACAAACTTGATCGTTACACTCTCAGTTGTACCCAGAAGCATTAAAGGGCAGAGATGTATTTTCATTTTGCTGAGCTTTAGAATGGCCGTAAACATCCAAAACAATGGTAAGGAGAAACATCTCATAATTTATTTTTACATTTATAGCCCCACCCTCTTTCACAGGATGTTGGGGCGGGTGACAAAGGTGTATTAAACAGTTTTAAAACAAATAAGACATTTAAAACAAGTTGAAATCAGACAGCACAACATTCACACATGCAAACATCAAAACCATTGCACTAAAACCGATGCAGGCCTCGATCCTCAATCCCCAAAGACTCTAATATGTAAGTATGTCTTGACAGGAGATTGCTGGTGCCAATCGAGCCTCCAAGGGAAGGCATCCCACATTTGGGGTACTATGGCAGAATAAGCCCTCCCCCTGTGTCTCCATGTAATGAATTGTTCTCAGTGGTGGGTCATGGAGGAGGGCATTCCAGCAGATCTTAGTAATCAAGCCGGTGTGTGGAGGGAGAGACACTCCTTTAAATATCCAGGTCCCAGGCTCTTTAAGGCTGCATAAGCCATCGTCTCTGCTACGTCCACAGAGGGATGTGGTGGCACTGCGGATTAAACTGCAGAAGCCTCTGTGCTGCAAGGTCAGAAGAGCGCCACGAAGCTCCTCTAGAATCTGATGTCCCCATCTCTCTTTTGCTTCTATTGTTCCTTTTCTGATTTTCTCCTTTTTTCAATGCTTTGATCTTTCAGATGAGGAAACTGTTTGCAGGAGCTGGGCCAGCCTGCCAGGTGGCAGAGAAGGTTCCGCCAGACATGAGAAAGCATCCGTTGCAATGGGAGATCAAGCAAGAGGATGATGGAGAGGCCATTTGGCCAGGTAAGGATTAAAATACAGTGGTGCCCCACTTAACGCTTACCCCGCTTGATGACGAATCCACTTCATGATGAAGTTTTTGCAATTGCTTTTGCGATTGCAAAACGATGTTTTAATGGGCTTCCCGGTCCTGCCAACTCTGGGTGCTGCCTCTGAGTAAGGTGCTTGATGGAAGCGGGGAAGCGCTGAACACTTGTTTGGCCAATGGGTGTTCCCGTTAGCTGTCACATAGTACCAACTGCTATCATCTTCTATGGGTAGCCTCAGAATGTCCTTGGGTTCTTCCATCTCTAGTCTCCAGGTTTATCCCAAGCTGGAATACGTGCATTGTTTTTTAACACTTATACAGTGGTGCCCTGCTTGATGATTACCTCGTTCTACAATGAATCCGCTGTACGATGAGGTTACCTTTAAGCCGTTGTCAGCACCTTGAGCTCAGATGGGAAGCGCATTGGCAGCCCATGCGAACCCTTCAGAACTGCTGTCTTGTGGCGTCTGAATGGTGTTCCTGTTAGCTGTCCCGTTAGTGCCCCCTGCTATCATCTTCCATGGGTAGCCTCAGAATGTCCTTGGGTTCTTAAACTGGCATCCCTGAACAGCACAGTCTTAGGCAAGTCCTATTCTCTTCCTACCTTGTAAGGAGCATATTTAGGAACAGAGTTTTAATCTCCGAGACCGGAACTGGCTGCTTACCACCTTCTTTTTTCCTCTCACAGGGGCTGGCATGGCATCCGCCATGAGTCCTCCATCCTCTCTTGGCCTTCGGGATGCAGTAGAAGCACCGCCATTCGGGGTAAGGCTCACTGGAATAACGCAAAACAAAAAAGGAGTGGTGACATCCCAGAGATCCAGTGATGAAAGAGAGACTCGAGTCTCAGGATGTAAAATATGTGTTTTTTGAATTGTTTTCAAACTTGATATTTAAACATTGTAATATATGTTTAACTGCTTTTAACATAGGATATTTATGTGGTTTTTAGAAATCTGTCATTTTATCTGTTCTGGATGCCTTGGGTCCCCTGTGTGTGTGTGTGTGTGTGTGTGTGTGTGTGTGTGTGTGTGTGTGTGTGTGTGTGCGTGTGTGTGTGCGTAATTTTATTTATTAAAATTCTTTATATCCCACTTTTCTCCCTATGGGGGACCCAAGGTGGCATATGATAAATTTAAATAAAATAAATTACACATACACACAGAGAGATCACTTCATTACAGTTTAAAAACTGCCTTGTGCATTTTGTATGAAACAGTTTATAGGCTCCTTCAGGGGCTATACACATAAAGACAACACATTAAATTGCTATGACTGTTGTGAACGATGTGTGTTTTACATTTGAGAGAGCTGTATGTCACGTAATGTAAAAATGGCGAAATGAGATGCAAGATTCGTTTGGAATATCTGTCTATCGATTTGTCTGTCTGTCTATCTGTCTAGACAGACTTGTTGTTGTTTAGGCGTTTAGTCGTGTCCGACTCTTTGTGACCCCATGGACCAGAGCATGCCAGGCCCTCCTGTCTTCCACTGCCTCCCGGAGTTGGGTCAAATTCATGTTGGTAGCTTCGCAGACACTGTCCAGCCTTCTCGTTCTCGGTTGTCCCCTTCTCCTCTTGCCTTCACACTTTCCCAACATCAGGGTCTTTTCCAGGGAATCTTCTCTTCTCATTAGATGGCCAAAGTCTTGGAGCCTCAGCTTCAGGATCTGTCCTTCCAGTGAGCACTCAGGGTTGATTTCCTTCAGAATGGATAGGTTTGTTCTCCTTGCAGTCCAGGGGATTCTCAAGAGCCTCCTCCAGCACCACAATTCAAAGGCATCAATTCTTCAGCGGTCAGCTTTCTTTATGGTCCAGCTCTCACTTCCATAGATCACTACAGTGAAAACCATAGCTTTGACTATGTGGAGTTTTGTTGGCAAGGTAATGTCTTTGCTTTTTAAGATGCTGTCTAGGTTTGTTGTCGCTTTCCTCCCAAGAAGCAGGCATCTTTTAATTTCGTGGATTCTGTCCCCATCTGCACTGATCATGGAACCCAAGAAAGTGAAATCTGTCTCTGACTCCATAATCTTCCCCTTCTATTTCCTAGGAGGTGATCCAGTGATGATGGAACCCAAGAAAGTAAAATCTGTCACTGCCTCCATAATCTTCCCCTTCTATTTGCCAGGAGATGATGGGACCAGTGGCCATGATCTTAGTTTTTTTGATGTTGAGCTTCAGACTGTTTTTTGCACTCTCCTCTTTCACCCTCATTACGAGGTTCTTTAATTCCTCCTCACTTTCTGCCATCTGTCTAGACAGACAGATGCCATCAAATTCCGATGAGTGGGTGGGGGGGAGAGATACACCAACACACTGAGACTCTGTCTTTCACAATGGATTCATTGGGATAACAGGCAGAGAGAAGTTCTCTCTTGCCACCTTTCTTTTCCTGTGCTTTCTTTTCCTGTTTGCATCTGGGAAATCTTGCTGTAAGGCCTACCTAGTCCAGCCTTCGGTTTGCCACCATGGTTAGCAAGATGGCTTTTTTCAAAAGCCTGCAAGAGACCCCGCGGCCCCCCTCTTGTCCTGGTTCCCCAGCAAGGGGTCGTCGGAGGCATGTGGCTTGTGGCCATGGAGGTTCCTTGTCACCAGGAACGTCATCCATCACCAAGAACGTTGCGAACGTGATCGTGGGAGTTTAAATCCTGAAGCACGAATAGTCACTCATCTCTCTTTTGTGAGCCGTGTAGGTTTGGTGAGGAGATCACCTTGATGTCATCTGTGAGGAGGAATGGTTTGTTTTTCCAGGGCCTGGTGGCTTTTGAGGAGGTGGCCGTGTGTTTCACTGAGGAGGAGTGGATGCTGCTGGATCCTGCCCAGAGAGCCCTGCACAAGGAAACCATGGAAGAGAACTATGGGATGGTGGCCTTCCTCGGTGAGTCTTCCTCTGACTCTGGAAGGCTTCTTTTGTCCCTTTCAGAGGAATTTAAGAAGTGGTCTGCTAATGACTTCTCCTGGAAACATATCACTTGGTTACAATAGGCTTTTAAGCCAGGCTTTCTCTAACTAAGCGTGAGCTATAGCTACAGTATAGCCTGGGATGAATTTATCTGTAACAAAGTCATTGTTTACAAAACAATGCTTCCTGAGAGGGGAACTGAATAACAACAGGGGTCTTCGTGGTCATTGCCAGCTATGAAATGTGACGGGAACCATCCCTTTGGTTGGGGGCCATCTATAAATATTCGCCATGTAGTCCCACTCTTGGCTGGTTGGATATCTGAGGGGTTTAGGTTTTTAGCTGTGGAGCCAGAGGTCAGGATTTCAACTCCCGACCCTCCGTGCCTCCAGGGGTAAGAGCCAGCCTGGGTGGCCTTGGGCAAGCTGGACAGTCCCAGGGCTCCCCCTAGAGGAAGGGAAGGGTCAACCACGTCTGAGAGCTTTCTACCTAGGAAAACTTGAAAAGGATCCCCATAAGTCAGAATTCACTTCACAGCCATTATTTTTATTCGTGCCGCTCTTATGTCTGAGGAAGTGGATTTCTCCATAAAAGCTCACACCAGAATATATCAGTTAATCTGTAAGATGCCACAATGCTTTTTGTCTTCTGCCTTTTTAAAAAAATTTAATTTTGTTTCTGGTCTGATATGCCGACACGGACTAACACAGCTGCCTTTTCTAAAGATGAGCTATCCGTCTTTGCCAAGACTGTTAAGGACGTCACCCCCAAAAGCAGAGCTGGTGTCGTTGACCTCCCAGTCTCACTGTATATAAACTGCCATAGGTCTACTACAATATTCTGGCACTCTTAAGGACTCTAAAAGGGACTCTCTGTTTCTCTCTCTCTAAGACAGAAAACCTTCGGTCCTCAGGCGTTCTTGGACTGCAACTCCCAGAAACTCTGGCTAGCACAGCTAGTGGTGAGGGCTTCTGGGAGTTGTTGTCCAAGAATATCTGGGGACCCAAAGTGGGGAACCGCTGTTCTGAGATCTGATACTCAGAGGCCTCCTTCCAAAATCCTTTTCCCTAATGAGTTGGCACTCCTTCATGGATTGCTGCCTTGTCGTGGCGAAGGGGCTTGAGTAACTCAGAGAAGCTATGGGCTATGCCGTGCAGGGACACCCAAGACGGACAGGACATAGTGGAGAGTTCCGACTAAACGCAATCCACCTGGAGTAGGAAATGGCAAGCCACTCCAGTATCTTTGCCAAGAACGCCCCATGATCAGAAACAAAAGGCTAAAAGATATGACGCTGGAAGATGGGCCCCTCAGGTCGGAAGGCGTCCAACATGCTACTGAGGAAGAGTGGAGGACAAGTACAAGTAGCTCCAGAGCTAATGAAGTGGTTGGGCCAAAGCCGAAAGGACGCTCAGCTGTGGACGTGCCTAGATTGGAATACACAATACAGTAGGATTCCCCCATCCGCGGGATCAGTATCTGCAAACCCACTTTTCCGCTTCCTGAAAACACTAAATGAAAAAAACCCTCAGAAATATGTATTTATATGTATTTCCACGGTGTATTTACCACTAGAGAGAGCCAGAGACCATGCAATGTACGCTGATGGATACATCTGCATTTTTCAGCATTGGCGGGAGTTGGGCTTAGATCTGATTCCCCAGTGGATAACTGTACAGATTTATTTTTGTTGGCTTTTATTCCTCTTGAGCTTTTGTTGAGTGTAAACTCTCGCAAATGTGCTGATGCATAATTTGTGCCAGTGTTGCCATTACGTAAGCAATGATGGTGTTTTTTTCCCCATGAGTATCCCTGATTGTGCACCTATGATGCATGTAACAATCCTGCATTACTATCTAACAGGGCTTTTTGCTCAGCAGAAGCTCAAGGGGATGCTGGCCATTATTTATGAAGCACCTTATAACTAGGCATGGGATTTTTTGAAATTTGTGGACTACAGCCTTCCGGGAGTCTGCAGGAATTCCTCCAGGGAGACTTAAGACCGGGCTAAGTCCTGTAACAACTGCAAGGCATGATGGGCCTGGTAGTCTATTTGCCTATTATGTTCTATATAGGGTGCCTCTTAGGAAATTCTGAACCTGCCATGCCTTTGAGGTCCCCAGAGAACTGAGCCCTGCTGAGCCATTTCCTTTGTCATGCTTGAGAGAATCCATTATTTCTGAAGCCTCCAAAAGTCTGGCTAGTCCAGTAGACTTCTGGGGACTGTAGTCCACCGATTCTGAAAATCCCCTGGCTATGAGCAGGATAAAAAGTTTTTAAAAAATAGAAATTGAAATAAACAAACAAACATAGTAAAAGGTGCACTGTACAGCTCTGACAGTGAATAATATTCCCTCCTTATACGTGGCAGAGCGTCTTCTTTCGACACGATCTGCCGGTCCTACAAAAACATCCCAGGCAGGCTGACCAAGGATGCTCACCCTGAGAGAGACCTGGAGGGAGAAGATGAGAAACAGGGCCTTTTCGGTGGTTGCTCCTCGGAATAAACTCTCCCTCCCCAGCCATTGGCTTGGCCCCCTTGCTGGCGATCTTTAATAAGTCATTAAAAACCTGATGTCATACCTGTCGAAGATGTCATACCTGCAAATACAGCTGTCTAATTATCCCATCTCACATGTTTTAAATGTTCTGAATGTTTTATTTTGATGTATTTTTCTACTTTGAGTTATTACCTGTTCATCTTTTATTATTTCTAATTTTTTGTTATGTTAAATTGTATTTGATGGGTTCACTTATCGACCAAACAGGTGTTCTGTATTTTCCATTCTGCGCCTCCAGTCGCCTCAGCCAGATAGGTGGTATAAAAATAGGAAGGAAGGAAGGGATGGAGGAAATATATCTTCTTTTCTGTAGGCAGAGGATCTTCACTTCATCACAGTTGTTCGTTGAGGATGTTCGTTTCTTTAAAACACCATTTATTAATACAGTTTTGCACATTTATTTTTCTCTATTCCAGCAAGGAACAAGTGGGAAATGCAGAATAAGAGAGAATCTCAAAGACTATCGCCAGAAGGGCGTAGGTGTAGAAACAGAAAACATCAAAGAGGGGAACTTAAAGCCTGTCAGAAGAAGAGAAATAAATCTTCCTCACCTCAGAGGACTAATTATGATGGCACCATAATTCAAGAAAAAGTAGGTAAACAACAGGAGAACAGAAGGGGCTACGTGTATAAAAAAAGTTGCAGTTCCCCGTCAGAGTTTGATGCTTCTAATAAAACTGGCAAAGGGAAGAAGCTGTATAAATGCTTGGAATGTGGAAAGACGTATCATGTGAAGTCAAGCTTCCGGTACCACCAAAAAGCTCACACAGGAGAGAAACCTTACAAATGCCTGGTGTGTGGAAAAAGCTTCATCTGGAAGACAATTCTGACTTCTCATGAAAAAATCCACACAGGGGAAAAACCTTATAACTGTTTGGAATGTGGGAAAAACTTCAGCTGGAAGAAAATCCTTGTGAAACACCAAATAATTCACACGGGGGAGAAGCCCTACAGTTGTTTGCAGTGTGGGAAGTGTTTCACTGGGAAGGCGACTCTCACTTCTCACGAAAGAATCCACACAGGAGAGAAACCCTATAAATGCTTGGAATGTGGAAAGAGCTTCAGCTGGAAGAAAATCCTTGTGAAACATCAAATAATCCACACGGGGGAGAAGCCCTATAAGTGTTTGGAGTGTGGAAAGTGCTTTGGTGGAAAAGCCACTCTCACGTATCACGAAAGGATTCACACAGGGGAGAAACCGTATACCTGCTTGGAGTGTGGAAAGAGCTTCGGTTGGAAGACCGTTCTAGTGAAGCATCAAAGAACCCACACTGGAGAAAAACCATATAAATGCCTGCAGTGTGGCAGGTGCTTCAGCCAGAAGACACATCTGACCAAGCACCAAAGAATCCACACAGGGCAGAAACCGTATACCTGCTTTGAATGTGGAAAGAGCTTCAGCGAAAAGACATCTCTTACTTCTCACGAAAGAGTCCATACTGGGGAGAAACCCTATAAATGCTCGGAGTGCGGAAAGAGCTTCAGCTGGAAGACCGTCCTTGTGAAACATAAAAGAACTCACACGGGCGAGAAACCTTATAAGTGTTCGCAGTGCGGAAAGTGCTTCAGCCAGAAGATAAATCTCACAAAACACGAACGGATTCACACGGGGCAGAAGCCATACACCTGCTCGGAGTGCGGAAGGAGCTTCGCTCAAAAGACCAATCTCACTTCTCATCAAAGAATCCACATAGGGGAGAAAGCATATCAATGTTTAGAGTGTGGGAAGAGCTTCTTCCAGAAAGCATACCTTACCGCTCATCACAGGATCCACACAGGAGAGAAATTACATTCCTGCTTGGAGTGCGGGAAGCGCTTCTGTCGGAAAACAGATCTTACTCGACACCAGAGAGTTCACACAGAGGAAAATCCGTATAAGGTCTTGGAGTGTGAAGAAAGCATCAGCCAAAAGATAGATTTAATTTCTCACCAAATAAGTCACGCAGGAGAGACGTTAGGACGGTGCTTGGACTACGGAGAGTCATTCAGTGAGGATTTAACGTATATTTTGCACTGAGGGACTTGCATATGAGATGTGTTGTATAAATGAATGCTGGACATGGAATAGTATTAAGTGACTTGGGAGTAATTTAATACAGGGGTTCCTAACCCTGAAATTTAATTTAATACAGGGGTTCCAACTCCCAGAAATCCTGGCCAGCATAGCTAGTAGTGAAGGCTGCTGCGAGTTTTAGTCCAAAAATATCTGGGGACCCAAGGTTGGGAATCACTGACTTAATAAGCTGTAAACTGGTATTGGCAGAACTGTGCTGAACCTTTAAAAAATTGGTTACCAACACCACTCTTTCTGAGTGTGGAGAAGAACAAGCAGCTCCATACCTTGAACTCTATGCGTCTCAACATGTGATGAGCGACATTTGGTGTTAGATGCCCCAAAGGCTCTTGATACTGCACATTCATTCCTGGGGGGGTGGGGGAAAATCTGATCTATTTATTAATTGTTCTGTCGTGCTTCTGACCAAAGCCAAGAAACGCGGAGCAGGAACTGTGTGCTGCAGCTAAGACAGCAAAGAAAAGGCTGTCTCTTTATTTTTCCTTTATATTACATAGTAAAAACGATTGCCCTGTTAGTCATAGGAATTCCTGGAAAGCAGGATATGTCTGGGTTTTTTTCAGCTAAGTTCCTAATCTCTTCAATAAAGATTGTATTTATTTTGGTAAAAGGGTTAAGAAAAAAATGTATTCCAGTATTCGTTACCCATAGGCAGTTATTAAAATGTAGCATATGCACACACAAAGGCACATTTATTAATGTATAAATGTACGCCGCCGCCGCCGCCGCCAATAACAACAACAACAACAACAACAACTTACCCATATGCAGTTATTAAAATATAGCATATGCACACACAAAGGAACATTTATTAATGTATAAATGTACGACGACGATGCTGCTGCTGCTGCTGCTTGCAGTTATTAAAATATAGCATATGCACACACAAAGGAACATTTATTAATGTATAAATGTACGACGACGATGCTGCTGCTGCTGCTGCTNAACAACAATAATAATAATAATAATAATAATATAATCACTCCTGTCACATTCCTAAGGGCTCAAATGCCAAGAAAAATCAGGAGAATCAGCTTTCCTGAGGACCACTTCATTTTCATGCAATGACTTGGTCATAAAATAGGCATCTAGAATCTATACTTGAGGGGCATTGTGTTAGTCACACACTCTCCATCTTCTCTTTGGGCACCCTCTGTGTGTGGAGGATTCAGAGCCTCGCGGCACCATGGTTAAACTGCAGCACTGCAGCCAAGACTCTGATCACAACCTGAGTTCGATCCCATTGGGCTCAGGCAGCTGGCCTGAGTTTAACTGTGAGGGGGCAGCAACGGCACACACCCCTCAGCATGTTTAAATTAGTGATGGAAGAGGGATTACATCAACTTGTCCCTTCCCTAGCCCAGCTTTTCTGCTATCTGCTGGAGCAGAACAAATGTCACTGGCAAGCTGTGCTGGCGAATTTGTGCTGTCAGCCATCTTGTCTGTTCTTCCTGCTTAGAAAGCTTAATTCCATCCTACTGCAGGAACAAATCCGTCCTGAGAGAACCGAATCAGAGGTTTTTTCCCCCCATTTATAGTACTCAAGTATTCTTAATGATGTGTTACAACAAGATTCGGGCCAGAATCCCACTAGAGATTTGCCTTGACCCCCTTGTTTGTCTTTCTGGCAGTCCCGCCGGGGTCTCCAAAAAAGTTCTCCTCCAGCACCACATTTGAAACAAATCAATTAATTGTTTAGCTTTCACATCCATACATAGTGACTGGGGAAACAAGTGTGGATGATCTTGGTATTCATGGGAAACTTTGACAAAGTCCCACTGACCAGAGGGCTGTTAATTTCAGCCCAAGATGTCACTTCACTTCCCATGTCTCTTAACATCTAGCTAGGATTCATATTTCTTTTTCCTGGACCCCTTCCCAATTTTCATAACTTCCACCCCGATTAAGAGTTTTGAAAGACTTGAACACTCTTCCCACCCTCTCTGTCTGATACCTTGGTGGCCCAGTAAAAGTTTTATTCCCCAGTTGTGCTCTCTCAATGTCCCTGAGCCTTTTGGACTGGAGGGAGAGCAAAGCCTGGAGGTGGGAGGCAAGCTAAGTACACACTCCCCTTGGTAGATGTTCACCCAGAGCTTGTGTCTTTCGAGGAGACTCTGGTCTTGTAAAGTGAGCTAAACTGGGAGAGTCCTTGAAAAGAAGGGAATATGTATAGTGAAAGAAGAAACATGCTCTTTGCTGCAAATGTATGCTACCCCTGGCTGCAAACTCTCTCTTCCTGACTCTATTTACCTCCAGCCCATCAAGGGTCTCCTTTGGTTCCTTTCTTCGAGTGTGACTGCACCCATCCATACCCCCATGTAGATTTGGATGAAAGGGTTGCAAAGGAGGAGGATGATAGGGGATGGAGGGCAGTCCATGAGGATGAAGAGAAGCCCAGCCAATGAAAAGGTGATGGGGACCCATAGCTCCTGGATGGTGGTCATAAAGCTTAATCCTCTTCCTTTTCACCATCCCAAATATCTATATTTTGGAGATTAGGGATGCATGAGAAAATGGGGCCCTCCAAGCTCCAGACCTCTTGAAAGTTGTCCACCCCTAGTTTTCAATGTTAGCAGGCAGATTTACGGACTCCACTTGCTACCAAGGAAAAATCTTTAGGTATAAAGAGCTGTGATCTTCTGGGTAGAGATTTCAGTATTTTAAAAGCACATTGGGTATAAAGATTTCATAGAATTATGGGGCTCAAAAGCGCTGGTAAGGCCATTGAGTCCAAACCCCTGCTTAAGACAAGAATCCAAATCAGAGGAGATCTGATATGGTTGTCTTTATTTTCTCTTGAATGCCTCTCACATTTTATGGCTCATGAATTTTGCCCTGAAAGTGTGGAAGGTTCTTCCCAATTGGAAAGGAGAAATCAATCAACACATCAGAAGCAATGATGTTTAATTTCAATGTATTCTCACTTTACTGGCAAAGGATAGCACCTCATGCCAGGGTGGGTTACCTTTATTGTTGTTGTTATCACAACCAGCCCACTGGAATAAGCCCAGTAGAGTTGCAATACAACCTTATTTTCACGACTGCCCCTCATTATTTTATTTCCTTTCTCTTCTCTGCTATTTGTAAGGCCTCGTTGGACAGCCACTTTGCTTTCTTGCATTTCCTTTTCTTTGGGATGGTTTATAAAGGGTACAATGTTATAAAGGGTTAAAGGAATGAGGTGGAACAATTCCTAGAGAGGCCAAGACTTGGGAGAGGGCCGGATTTCCGGAGTGCAGGTCTCTCCTTTCCTCCCCGGAGCGTTTCCTGTCCTTCGCTTTTGCCGGCCCCCAGGAAATTGGACCTCTGTGTCAGCTGTGTCGGGGTTCTCCCATTTGGGATCTGGTGAGTCCCACATTTGGCTGGAAGAAGCTCCAGGGGAAGAGAGGGAGGTGGGCGGTGGGAAGACCCTCGCGTGGAGGATGCGGGAACTCAAACCCTGAGTCCCTGAATGGAGAGAAATATATGGGGTGGGGGGCTGAGAGGTGGAAGTGAGATCCAGCCGCTCCCATTTAACCTAGTAGGTCCATGATTCTCGCAGCTGATCTCTTTCAGATCCCAACACAACCACGGGGAATGTTTTCCTTCTTTCCCCTCTGCAAAGCCAGGGAAGTCGTTTTTATATATTTACGGGAGATGTCATTGAATGAGAAACTGCTCAATTGACTGATCCGTCTGATTGTATTTATTACAGCTCATCAATGAACAAAATGGATATAAATCAAACTTTTTAAAGAAAAAGATCAGATTTCTGTTGGTTGCAGTGCATAAATTCCCCCCATAATGGATCTTGGTACATGTATGTACACACCCTCCGCAATTCTAAGGTGATCAATGGTATAATACTCATACCCTATCATCATTTTACAGCTGGTCCAGCCCTTGTCAAGAAGGCACAGGGGGAAATCGGGCTCCCAACCTTTAAGGTTACACATCAGTTTGTGAGATTTCCAATTATTGTCATAGGTGAAAGCAAAATAAAAAGTAAAAAAGACAAAAATGTGGTAGCACCTTAAAGACTAACTTTTAAATTTTAAAGTGTGAGCTTTCATGGATGAAATATAAGAGGACAAGAAGTGGACTTGTCCACAAAAGCTCACATTGAAACATATAAAAGTTAGACTTTTAAGGTGCCACAATGTTTTTGTCCTTTTTATTTTTTTATTTTGTTTTCACCTATATTATTATTATCATTAGTTTTAATTATATGCCACATTTCTCCCAATAAGGGACCCAAAGCGGCTCACAACATTAAAATTCGCACAATTAAAAAAAACCAATAAGTTAAATATTGAAAGATAAATTAAACAATATGATTTAAAATAAAATTAAAAGATTAAAACATGAAAACATGGAAAGGATTAAAATTATCTGCTAAAATAGGGTTCAGGGATTCAGTTGTGATTGCTAAAAGCCTGCCTGAAGAGATGGGTCTTTAGCTTTTTTCGGAAGGATAAAAGGGAAGGGGCCATCCTGATCCGAGGGAGAGCGTTCCATAGCCTGGGAGCCGCCATCGAGAAGGCCCTCTTCCGTGTCCCCACCAGCTGTGCTTCTGCTGGCAATGGGACCGAGAGGAGGGCCTCCTCTGCTGATCTTAATTGCCAAGAAGACACAAATAGGGAGATATGGTCCTTCAGGTAGCCTGGACCCAAACTGTACCCAGCTAATCATGGGCCCGGAAACGGACGGGTACCCAGTGCAGTTCTTGTGACAGGTGCGTTATAGCAGTGGTCCCCAACCTTGGGCCTCCAGATGTTCTTGGACTACAATTCCCAGAAGCCTTCACCACCACCTCTGCTGGCCAGGATTTCTGGGAGTTGAAGTCCAAGAACATCTGGAGGCCCAAAGTTGGGGACCACTGCGTTATAGGCTCCCTGTAGCTGGCCGCAGTCAGTAGTCTGGCTGCAGAGTTTTGCACCAGCTGAAGTTTAACCGTCTTCAAAGACATCCCCACCTGTAATGCTTGTGCAGATTAATGCCGCTACCCCGTCTACAACTACAATTATTATCAGTGTAAGTTCCCCACCTGTAGTGCTTGTGCAGATTAATGCCGCTGCGCCTTCTACAACTACAATTATTATCAGTGTAAGTAGTGACCGGATTTAACCTCAGAATGAAGAACTGAGACCAATGCAAGATAATCTTGCTAGTACTTCGTGCCACAGGGTTGAATGGGGCAGAAAACTGAGTTTGGGACTTCTGCTCTGAACTTCGCCAAACTGGGGAAATATTTCCTTTCACAGCAAGCCAGAATGATATACTTCAGACATTTTTGATAAAATTTGCAAGAACTATATGATATGCCCCTTCAAAATTTGAGGACAAAAAGGGTTTGGTGTGCCAGCTTTCAGTATTTTTTAAAATTTGCTACTCTCTAGTATTTGACAGTCTGTATCAGTTTGTAGGTTATATTTGTAGATTTCTTCAGGCAAATAATGGGACCCATAGTTCAGAGTATCACCTCTAGCAACGATATTTCTTAGTAAGCATTGTGATTTTGAAGCTTACTGTATAATGGTCTCTTCCTTTCTTGGTAGTTCATCTTAACTAACTGGTAAAGGAAAAACAAGAAAACGTATTTATGTTTAAGTTTCAGGCATTAATGACTATGATGGTTCTTGGAACAGTTTTAAAAGAAAATTTAGCTTAAGTTTCAGGCATTAATGACTTCTGATGGTTCTTACAACAGTTTTAAATAAGCAAATGGCTAATCACCAGTCTTTGCAGAATAAGATTAAAGAGGAAAATGCTTTGGCTAGGGTTGAGTTGCACTGCAAGCTATGGCTGTCTTTGCCCATAAACAAAAGTGGAGTGGAACCGCTATGGGAAGAGCTCACTGGGACAACAGGTAGAGAACAGTCTGGATGCTTCTGTTCCCTGCTCCCTTCCCAGGATCCGAATAAGTCCCTCCCTCTTGTTTGCTTTTGGTACACCTAGCCGTGTAACAAGACGTCCACCAGATCAGACCAGAGGCTCATCTATATCAGCATCCTGTTTCCTACAGTAGTCAGATGGGAGACTGCTAAGAGGATGTGATGGGGATATCCCTCTGCCACTTCAGATTGCCAGCAGCCGATATTCAGAGGCCTGTTGACTCTGCCCGTGAAGGGCCATATAACCATTGAGACAAATAGCTATTGATGGCCTCTATATACAGTGGTGCCTCGCTTAATGGCGATAATCCGTTCCAGGAAAATCGCTGTTAAGCAAAAACGTAAAGCGAAAATAAAAAGCCTATTGAAACACATTGAAAACCATTCAATGCGTTCCAATGGGCTAAAAACTCACGGTCCAGCAAAGATCTTCCATACGGCGGCCATTTTCGGTGCCTGTATAGCGAGGAATCCGTCCCTAAACACAGCGGGGAGCCATTTTAATTACCCGACGGCCATTTTGAAACCACTGATCAGCTGTTTAAAAAACATCGTTTTGCGAAAAATCGGTTCCCAAAGCAGGGAACCGATCATCACAAAGCGGAAAAACCCTATTTAGACCATCGTTTTGCGATCGCAAAGGCAATCTCAAAATCATCAGCGTGAAATGGATTCGTCGTAATGCGGGGTAATCGTAAAGTGGGGCACGACTGTAAAAGGCTGCAAATTCAATCCTAGTGATGTGTTGTTTGGATTTTATGGAGTCTAGTTCCCAGAATTCTCCGTTGTGGGACTTCCAGGCAGCTAAATTTCACTCACCTGGAGAAAAGCCTAGCTGAGGCCTAGAAGCTACTCCATTGCTAGCTGGAGACAGATGTTCTAGCTGGCATCAGGACAGCTTCCCTTTGGAACAAGAAGCTAGGCCCCAGCTAGGCTTTTCTCCAGGTGAGCGAAACTGAGCTGCCTGGAAGTGCCAGGATGGAGAATTCTGGGCGCTAGATTCCAAAAAATCCGAATGGCACATCTTTAGTCCTTCAATAAAGTTTCTGTCTTAAAGTGTAACATCCGCCCACCTCCACTGAATTAGGTTTTCCTATTTTCTTAGTAGATAAGATCAAATGGAAACATTCTTTTTCTTTTTTTTTTCATTCAGGACCTGGTGTCCTTTGTGGAGATTATTGTATATTTCTCTGAAAAGGACTGGGGCTACTTCTGGATCCTGCCTAGAGATCTGACACGGAGGAGTCATGGAAGAAGCCTGCGAAATCGTGGTAACTCTTGGTAAGGCTTTCTCTTTCCCTAGTTAATGATAATACAACATTTGAAGTGGAGTAAAAATGGCAGTGCTGCTAATAACAATACAGTGGTGCCCCGCATAGCGACGATAATCTGTTCCGGATAAATCGTCGCTATCCGGAATCATCGCTATACGGGGCAAAAAAACCCCCATAGGAATGCATTAAACCCTGTTTAATACGTTCCTATGGGGGGAAAACTCACCGTTATCCGAAGATCCTCCATAGCGCCGCCATTTTCGCCACCTCAGTAAGCGAGGGCAGCGCACGAAAATGGTTGTGGTGGCCATTTTGGGCACCCGGTGGCCATTTTGGAACTGCCGATCAGCTGTTTCCCGATCATCGCAATGCGAAGATCGGTAAGCGAAACGCTTACCGATCATTGCAATGCGATGTTTAGGCTATTAAAACATCGCAATGTGATCGCATTAGCAATCTAAAAAAATAGATAGCTATGCGGATTCGTCGTTAAACGGTGTGCTCGTTATGCGAGGCACCACTGTACTTGATTTGATTTAAAATTAAAACATTACATATTATAGGTTTTTTGGTTTCTGTTTGTTTGCCTGCTTTTTAAAATGGTGCCCTGGTGACCATCAAAGTTATATACCTATAAAACCAGTCCTACATATATGCTCTACACAGCTTGATGGTTATGTGAACAGTTTTCTAAGTCTGGTGCAGTAAGACCGTAGTATTTGGATGCAAAAAATAAAAAATAAAAAATGCAGAAGTAGCGAATGCTATCGATACCACCATCTCTGGCTCCCTGTGGTGGCTTGTTCTGGTAAATACACTAATTTTTAATTTGATTTTTCAGGCAGTTGATAAGTGAATCTGCGGATGCTGATCCAGCGTATAGGGGGATACTACTATATTATTCAGTCAGACGTTGCAATGGGGACCTGAAGTGCTGGGCCTCACAGTGGGAGCCATGCTCTTTCTTCTTAGTTGGTTATCTCCAGAATAAATACTTTGTAATCATCTGATTACTGTGTTGTGATGATTAAGCATCCCATTTCTAATTTTATGGTTTTGAGTTTATCTCGCTTTACATATTTCTTGTATTCCAAGATGCACATATGAAATATTGCATATGTTCTCGTTATTATCTATAATTGTAGATTTATTTGTGTATGTATAAATATATATAGCTATATGTATAATTATATAAGCACATTGGCTACTTGATATTTTCTTGGGCTTTAATCCAGTTGCTTCATTAGTGATGATGCAGTTTGTACCTGTTAGTTGGTCTTTTTGTGTAGCTAATCGAATGCCATCTTACCTGGAGATCACATCTTCTAGCAATGGATAAAAGAGTCTTATTGCAGAGTTTTCAAGGCATAGAATAGTCAGAAATGGTTTACCATTGCCTCCTTCTGCGCAGTACTAACAAGAGTTAGCATGTCTGCGAAAGATCTGCCAGTGTCATCTTCTGCTCCTTCTGCTCTCCAGCACCTGTCCTTCACAAGTTTCTCCATGCCTGTCATCAGTGGAATTACTCCTACTTTTCTGCTGATTTAACCATTAATTCCTGAAGAGAATGACAGCCTTTTTGTCTGGTATCTCAGTTTTGACCACACCATCTTGGGAGGCTAAATTCATAACATAACGTCTTTATGACGTCATCCTCAGCTTTCCAGATACACTTACATTCTCTCACTAGGTTAAGGTGTGTCTCCACCAGGAGGCTGTTTTTTATTATTTTTCTTGTGCGATCAAGTCTAAACTGACTTACAGTGACCCTAATAGGACTTTCAAGTTAAGCAAAATATATAAGAAATGATTTTACCAGTTCTGCACCCCCAGTGAGTTTCCTTGCCTGAGCAGGGATTTGAACCCAGGCTTCTTGAGTCCTAATCTGTCACTCTGTCCACTACACCATGCCTGGGTAATCTCCTGTTGTTTATAGGGAACCTTAAAGAAAGCATTTTCTGGATGAATCTGTGATGTAATACATGGCCACTGATCCCCCCCATGCTCAATATCATATTAGATCATGCTAGCAAACAGGTGCTGTTGAACTAGGTCCCGTCAATATCTTTGCTTCTGCCCTCTAACCTGCATTGTAATCATTAATTTAGGCTGTTTAGTGATTTTTAGGCTCTGTTTCTAATTTATACCAATGTATTTATTTGTTGTTCCAGAAGATGACCAGTGGGAAATGGAGAACATGAGAGGATGGGCTGAGAGGATGGCACTTGAAAGGCAAACTTATAAAAATAGGAACGAGCAGAGAAGGAAAATGGAGGCTAATGAGACTTCTCCTCAAAGAAGTTATGCCGGGGAGAAGCCATATAAATGCTTGCTGTGTGGGAAAAGCTTCAGGTATAAAATACAACTGTTTTCTCACCGAACATTTCACACAGGGGAGAAACCCTACAAATGCTTGGAATGTGGGAAGAGTTTCAGTTGGAAAGCATGCATCTTTGCCCATCAAAAAATTCACATGGGAAAGAAACCTTATAAATGCTTGGAGTGCGGAAAGAGATTTATTTGGAGTTCCCATCTAACTAGACACCAAATAACTCACACTGGAGAAAAAACCTATAAATGTTTTGTTTGTCAAGAGAGCTTTACTCAGAAGATAGATCTCAATAAACATCAAAGAATTCACTCAGGAGAGAAGCCGTATAAGTGCTTGCTGTGTGGGAAAAACTTCAGGTATAAAATACAACTCGTTTCTCACCGAACATTTCACGCAGGGCAGAAACCCTATAAATGCTTGCAATGTGGGAAGAGCTTCAATTGGAAGGTATGTCTCACCTCCCATCAAAAAATCCACACAGGAAAGAAACCTTATAAGTGCTTGGAGTGTGGAAAGAGGTTTATTTGGAATTCAGACCTAAGTAGGCATCGAAGAATCCATACTGGGGAAAAGCCCTATAAATGTTTGTTTCGTGGGATAAGCTTCTGTTATAAAGGGAGTCACGCTGCTCATGAAGCAATCCAGACAGGGGAGAAACTGGATCCATGCTTGGAATGTGGAAGGAGGTTTAGTCAGCAGATTTATCTCACTTCTCATCAAAAGGTTCATACAGGTGAGAGACGGCATAACTGCGTGGAGTGTGGGAAGAGCTTCAGTGAAAGCAGTAATCTCAGTAGACATCAGAGGATTCACACAGAGGAGAGATCCTTTAAATGCTTTGTGTGCAAGAAGAGCTTCATTAAAAAGTCAGACCTTACCATTCATGAAAGCATTCACACAGGGCTGAAACCGTATGCATGCATGGAGTGTGGGAAGAAGTTCTGTCAGAAGCTGCAACTCACTTCCCATCGAACTCTTCACACCGGGGAGAAACCCTATAAATGCCAGGAATGCGGGAAAAGCTTCTGTCACCAGATTCATCTCACGTCTCATCAACGGAGTCACACGGGAGAGAAGCCCCATAAATGCTTGGAGTGCGGGAAGTGCTTCAGTGCCCGGAGTAACCTCAGCACGCATCGGAGAATTCACACAGGGGAGAAACCCTATACATGTTTAGAGTGTGGAAAGAGTTTCATTAAGAAATCAGACCTTACCGTACATCAGAGAATTCATACCGGGGAGAAACCCTATACTTGCTTGGAGTGTGGGAAAAATTTCAGTGAAAAGAGAAATTTCAACAAACATCAAAGTCTTCACACAGGGGAGAAACCCTATGAATGCTTGGAATGCGGGAAGAGGTTCAGGGAGAAGACAGCTCTTAAAGGACACCAGACGATTCACACTGGGGAGAAACCATACATCTGTGGAGAATGTGGGAATAGCTTCCGACTCCGCTCAAATCTGACATCTCATCAAAGAAGCCACACGGCAGAAAAACCTCATAAGTGCTCGGAATGTGGACGGAGCTTCAACCAGAAAACGAATCTCACGAGGCATCAGAAAATGCACACCGGGAACAAACCCTATAAATGCTTGGAGTGTGGCATGAACTTTGGCCAGAACGCAAACCTAGTGAACCACCAGCGGATCCACACGGGAGAAAAACCGTACAAGTGCTTGAAATGTGGGAAGAGCTTCAATCAGAAGAGGTATCTGCGTTGCCACCTAAAAAGACACTCCCAGGAGAAACCGTACAAGTGCTTGGAATGTGGAAGGAACTTTGCCCAGAAGAGGTCTTTAGTATCTCATCAGAGAAATCACGCGGAGGAGAAACCCTATAACATAGTCATTATCAGCTGACAGGGCACGTGATCCAAGAGAGAGAGAGAGAGATGTTTGAGGGTTTGAGTAGAGGAGTTTGAAAAATGGAGTTAATATTTTAAAAATAAAGGTTTGAAAATTTGCAGCTTTCTCCAGAGGCTGCATATTCCATTATCCTGTATTGCATGGTAGTGTTCTCTTTCTTCTAGTGTACAATACCCTTTGTCTGCTGTTTAATTTATATTTGATGAGTGGCTTTGTTGCTCACCCCTTCCCCCTGAAAAATTATGGTAAAGACTTTCCTCTTTCTCTTTCTCTTTGAAATCTTTTTTATTATACAAACGTTATTTACTGATGCTGTGGTTCTGATCCTCAGCTCATGCCCCCTTCTGGCTTTTCCAAGTCACCTACTTGTGCCTTTTACTCAAATAAATAGGATATGTTTGTGGGGTGAAAGCTGTAGTTTTTTGTCCCTTTTTCCTTGGGTAGAACCAACATGAATTTGACCCAACTCCAGGAGGCAGTGGAAGACAGGGGGGCCTGGCGTGCTCTGGTCCATGGGGTCACGAAGAGTCAGACACAGCTTAATGACTAAACAAAAAACTAGCTTCTTTTGGTGCAGGAAATCAGATTTTGGAATGAGTTTCAAGGGGAAGTAGTACCCTCCTTCATATGCAAGATCTGTCATTTAACATTCTGCTTGCAGACATAACAAATAGGATTTTTCTCTCGGGGGGGGGGAGTTAATTAGCCCTTAAAGAGACTGCTTTTGTGTGAACCTGATTTTGTGTGAACCAGTTGATGCACCTACCCCCAGGAATAAAGGAACAACACTTCAATTCTTAACAATTTCCCCCTTTTTCATCCAAAAAAAGTGCACAGAAGGAATTATATACATAATGTGAGTCTTCTGTAAAAATGCAGATTTCTGCATGTGGGAGCAATTGTAATTCTCTTTTTTTGACAACAGAGGAAAGTGAAGTCATAAAACTCACACAGGGCACATTACTCACTGACATTTAAACATATTTTTCATTGGAGAACTCAGAGGGCGAACTGCATGCACACATGCATATATCTGTAAATAAATTTATGGCAATGGATGCCAAGCAAAGGGGGCTTTATTCATCACCATCTTAGAACTGCAGAGCTGGAATGAACCCTATGGATCATCAGGTCTTGATCCTGCGAAGGAGACACTGGGGGGAATCGAACTTTCAACCTCTGGCTCTACAATCAGAGACGTAAACACTGAGCTGTTAATGTGATGAATAGAGATGAGGCAAGAATAAGAAAAAATGGTAATTCATTTTGATTCACGATTCCTTAAGTGTGTCGAATTATCAATTCATTAATGTCTTCCAACAAATTTGATTTTTCAATTTGTTTTTTACTTTAAAACCATATAAAATGGCCCCACAGTACCAATAGACACCATATTCACAAGGAAAGTTCCCCTGACTCTCCTCTACATGCCTTGCAAATTTGGTGAAGTTTGGGTTAGATGCCTGAGTTATATACCCAGAAAGTGGGTCTCCCCAGGAAAACACCCTTTATTAGCTGGCTTGGGGAAACCCAATCTTCACCAAACTTGGAAGGATTGTATAGGAGAGTCAGAGGAAGCTTTCCTGCAGTTTTAGCGTCTATAGGTGCTTGGGGGTGAAGGTGGGGCGGCATTTTATAGCCAAATGAATTGATGGATCAAAAATTGCCAAAATGTGTTGATTTGTGATTTATAAGAAGCATTGATTCATATGAATACAAATGGACTAATTAGTGACTTTTGATCAAATTTAGTGGCTCATTTTTTAATTCGTGCCCATCTCCAGTGATGAGGTCAGGATGATGAAGATTGTTTGGTGCTCCATTTGTATTGATGCACCACCAGAATTAATAACTTGTGTTAGATGTTCTGAGAAAGCAGAATGAGGTGGATTTTCTGTAAAGGCTTCCTGTATGACAGCTCTCATTCATAACTGTTTATTGGCAAATCTTGATTCATTGGAAGGAGTTAAGAGCCCCCTCGTCACATGCAAGCACACCCACAATCCATGTCTTACAATAGAATGAAACCAATCACATTGAAGGGGGATTTTCTTCCGCTCCAGACTGCCATCTTACTTGATTTTTCCACAATGTCTACCTTCTGCTTAACAGTTTTTCCTGGAGCGTCTCCTCCCATATTGGTCTCTTATGTGTTCTTCTGCCAAGGACTTTTGGTAGCCGTGCTATTGAACAAGAACAGCCAGAGATTTCTCAGCAGTGTTGGCCTGACGTTTGAATGCCCACCCTTGAAGAGGTCTGCCTGGCACCTGAACCATGGCTCGCTTGTATTTATTACTAGACAAAAAAGGTCCCTATTATTTTTGTAATTTGTTCGTGGCCCTTCAGACAACGTTCATCTCTTGTATTCGTACCATTAAGTGTACGCTGGTAAATTCCTACACAGGACTGGCGGGGCAGTATGTTGTAAATAAATAAAAAGTCCAGTGTGCTTCACACGCCCTTATTTCCCAGAAATAATGTGGGAGAAGATATTTTGTGAGAAGAGGTGGCCTCTGATCGGGGTGGATTGCAAGAGAGATTGTGGGAGTCACTGGCGCTCATGGAGGAGGCAAGAGTCACACGCTGTCTTTGTACCGAGCATCTCGGTAATTAATCACAGCAACTTCCACCGTTTTGTTTCCACACAATGGGGACGGGGATTCTGTCCTGTAAGACCCGAGCAGCAAGGCCATTTTTTTAATATCTCAAAAAGGCGCGAAGGAAATAGACTCATAGAGGTGGCATGAGATAAACTTACCTTTCCATAAGACGCACCAATTTTTTAGGAGAAGAAAACAGGAAAATATAATCTGTTTTCTTCGCTCCATAAGACGCACAGACTTTCCACCCCCCTGTTTTGTGGGGGAAAAGTGCGTCTTATGGTGCGAAAAATACGGTAAGTTAAAAGACCCTCAGCATGGCAGGGAATCATAGTATCTATCTATCTATCTATCTATCTATCTATCTATCTATCTATCTATCTATCTATCTATCTATCTATCTATCTATCTATCTATCTATCTATCTATCTATCTATCTATCTA